ATATGTCAACTTTTCATAGAGACTTGAAAGAACTACGCATGTCACTGTGGTTGTCATAAGCTTCGGATTCCGTAGTTTATTGCTCTTATGAACCCTGCCAAAAATACTTCCACTACCACAAATCTTATGTCATTAAGTGAGATGAATAGTTTTGGTCTTATAAAGGATCTGTTTTGTGGCTTTTCAGTAAATCTATTTATTTCCCTATTCATATTTAATTTCGCCTGCTCTTCGTCTTCCTTTCAGAATAAACCACTACCAGCAGAGGCTTCAGTCGTTGTACTTCAAGAAGAAGTTTGCAGAGAGGATAGCTGAAATCAAACCCAAAATTGAAGGTGAGCAAAGCCTTAGAATGAGATTTAACTTGACTCAGTCATACTAATTGGCATCCCTGGTAAAGAAATGAATTTAGAATGAATTAATCTCTTATTGCAGTAGCATAAGAGATTGAAACGGCATCAGAAAGGATCCATGAGTCTGGACTATCTTTCCTGAACAGAAATTCCCTCTCTCTGTAAAATGTAACCTTGTGAAATGTTATAGAGGACCAAGTGCTGTCCTATTTGCAAATGGGAATGTATAAAGTGTTAACAGCTGGAGAAAATAAATGTGCTCAATATAATGGTGGGATCTTTTTCAGTGTGGGATCGCACTAGTTTTCAATAAAATCTAGGATTTGTTTTAGGCTTTTTCCTTATTTTTACCAGGGTTGCCAGTAAAAATGTCTGATTTTTTTTTAAATTAATCCACACTCCTGTCATTTTGAAGCAAGCTTCCCATTTCTTTGTTTTAGGTCTTACTAAGGCTTCCAAGGAGGTATTACACAGTAGAAACCTGAAGCAGCTGTTGGAGGTGGTGCTTGCTTTTGGAAACTACATGAATAAGGGTCAGAGAGGCAACGCTTACGGCTTTAACGTGTCTTCGCTCAACAAGATTGCCGATACCAAATCCAGTATTGACAAGTACGTTTGTCAGCCATACCACTGACGTTATCGAAGTATGATAAGGAACTGAGAATGTTTTATTCTTCTGGTAAAGCACCATTAATCAAATGCAGCACTCACTCCTTTGTGCCGCTTTAACTCAGGAATATAACTCTGCTGCACTACCTGATCACCATCCTGGAGAAGAAATACCCCAAAGTCCTCAAGTTCCAGGATGATCTGCAGAGTGTGTCAGAGGCAGCTAAAGTCAAGTATGTAAAAAAAATCTTCACAGTCTGCTATTTTTTGTTTTGTTTGTTTTTTTGGCTAAATTGTTCATAAAAATGTTTTTCTGGACTACTGATGAACCCTGGATAGTTCCATCCGACGGCCACTCGCCATTCTGATTTTTTTATTTCGATGGATGCAGAGTTTGAGTTGAACTCGCATCTTTTGACAGCTACATTACTGTGGTGCTCTTTAACCGTTCCAAGTAAAACACACAATGATTGTGTAGAAAACTAAGACTTCCAACTGCCTCCATTCACCGTGATTATGTTTTACTGCACGTATTACTAATTTAAAGTGTTTTTGTGAGTCAGAGTTGTAAAAAAAGAAACAAAGCATAAATAAGATATTTTTTCACTTTTGTCACTGAGATTATTTAAATCTCTTGGCATGGTCTTCATCCAATATATTTCTTTTTTCTATTAAGGATATAGTGAAGGAAGCATCCAATCTTCACAGTCTGCTATTAAACTGGTTTTAAGGATGATCACTCCACTCTGTGGGCAATTATCCACTCTCTCTGTTTTATTACAGCATGACAGAGCTGGAAAAAGACATTGGCAACCTGCGCAGTGGGTTAAAAAGTGTTGAGAGTGTGAGTCAAACATTCATCTTAGTGTTACAGCAGTTACATCATTTTAAATGCACATTTAAAATTTACTCGTTCCTCATTTTACGGGTTTTTTTGTTTGTTTTATTTTACGATTACAGGAGCTGGACTTCCAGAAGAATGGCCCACAGGAAGTAGGTGACAAGTTTGTGTCAGTGGTGAGCCAGTTCATCACTGTGGCCAGCTTCAGCTTCTCCGACGTGGAAGACTCTCTCGCTGAAGCCAAAGAACTGGTGAGTCGATCAGAAAGGGTTGATTTCTGGGGAGAACCACATGTGAGCTGACAGGAGTGCATCACTGTCACTCCGAGACCCAGGCGCTGAAAGCTCTCGTCTGGTTTCCTCTCGGCGCAGCTGTTTCTACACGTTTCGTTGACCTCCATCAGTCACATCTGTAGGAAAGCGAACAGCGGGGGGGGGAAGCATCTCGGCTTCCTGCTGCAGGACCCCTCGCACTTTTTATTGGGTCCAAGAAACAGGAGCACAAGTCTAGGATCATTTCACGCTGTGGGATTACACCTGCCAGCTGCATAAACACGATATTTCATGGATGCTTTTTCTTCCTTAAAGTCAAGACCCAGTGTTAAATAACACAGAAGAAACTTTAGTTTATTGGGTTGATTAAAGTCTTACTGCTTAAAGCCTGAGCATGTTTCCCTTTTTATCTGAGATTATGACATCATACTATTGGATTTATATCTATTTTCTATTTAAAAATGCATTTAAAGTATCAATATGCTGCACTTTTTTCATTTCTTTAAGATGTTAGAAAGACGACCAAAATGATGAAGTGACTGCTTTAAAATCCTTTGAAAGCATCATTAATTTAGCTCATGGTTTTCCTGTCAGAGCTGCTGTGAACATCTCATTATTAAAGATATATATTCTCAGCGTGACCTCGCATCTGGATGCTCTCCTTTTTAACTAGCTGTTCAAAACACCCAACAAACACATTGCCTTAATTTGAGCTCTGGCTCCAGCCCCCGACCTCTGCTCTAATCAGTAGCCGGTCACTTGGGCTTCAAAGCTCCCGACTTCTGCTGCCCTGCTCCGATTTCAAAGAAGACAAACTTAACAAGTCTCCTGTAAAACGGTAAAAGACAGAGGAAGACGTGCTTCTGCGAGCTGCCGCAGTAAATCTAATCCCCTCTCTGTGTTCCTCTTCGCTTTGGTCCTGCAGTTCCTGAGGGCAGTGAAGCACTTTGGGGAAGATGCCAGCAAGATGCAGCCAGATGAGTTCTTTGGCATCTTTGACCAGTTCCTGCAGTCGTTCACGGAGGCTCAGCAGGAAAACGAGAACATAAGGAAACGCAAGGAAGAGGAGGAGCGCAGGGCCAAAATGGAAGCTCAGGTGTGTGACATTGTTGACTGCAAAGTTTTGCTTTAGGGAAATTTATGAACCATTTACCTTTCCACTCAGAAGTCTGAATGCAGTTATGACAGTTTCGATTTTTTTCAAGTGTGAAACGTTCAACAACCAGGTGCAGAGGTTTAAATTTTTGTACATTTTCTCTTATCTGCAAGGGTAAGAACTATACATACAGTACTATACATACAGATGTCCATCTTTAAAAGCTCCAGATGGACATAATTAAGAGAACACCAAGTTGCCAAATTGCAGCGCATAAACGGATACATTGGCAGCAATGTAATAATTGAAGGAAGAGAGGAGGAACAAAATCTGTTCATCAAGTCAGTTGTTGCTAATTTAGGTTCAGCAGATGACCAAATACAAATGAATCTGTTCTGCAGGTTTTATGTGCAGGTAAACAAACACTTTATTTGATCTAAACCAGTGCCATGGTGAAAATGGTTGTCAGTCTCTTTTAAGTTAATGAGAACCCACTTGGAAAGATTTAGAAATGAACTTCTTGTTCTTGTGCGTCTCTAGCTGAAAGAACAGAGGGAGAAAGAACGCAAGGCCCGGAAAGCAAAAGCAAACGGAGAGGACGACGGCGGCGAGTTTGACGACCTGGTGTCTGCGTTGCGGTCGGGCGAAGTGTTCGACAAGGACCTGTCCAAAATGAAACGCAATCGCAAACGGATCAACAACCAGAGCACGGACTCGAGCAGGGAGCGGCCGGTCACAAAGCTCAACATCTAAAACCTCCGTCCCCCGCTCCCTTGTTTTTCCTCTTCAGCATCGGTTTCCCGCTGGGTCAAACTGACCTCCACATTCTTCTGCACCTTCATCCACCACCACCCAGATAGGCATGAATAAATCATGACCTCGTTGCAGAGCCATGCACTACACAACACGTTCAGTAACTTGTCTTTTTTTTTTATCTTATTCTGTTAGATTGCCATTTGAGAGGGCGAGGAAACCAAACGCTGATAAAACTTTGACCAAATCAGATCAGTTTGTTCAGACGAAGCTGGAGAACCGCCTCCCTCCAGGTGTGGGAGACGCTTGTGGTTGTTTGATAAGATCCCTTTTCGTGCTGCTTTTCTACATCTGAACCTATGCACAAACTCAAACGTGCAGCTTTTAGACTCATTCGGAGCCGGGAGAGGCCATTTTGTACAGACTGATTTCATAGATGGAAAGGCGGCCAGATTCAGCTACCTGAGGTATCCCAGACAGACTTGACCCTCTGCTGCTGCAGAAATATCACAGGACCGAGACTCCGCGTTATTGGGACACAAACTGAAAGTGATAGAGAAGCAGGGATTTTTCTATTCATTACTGATGGGGAGCATTTATTATATATGTGTGTATATGTTTCATTTGAACATTCTCCTGTTAAGAGCTGGCCTTGACTGTGTTGGTTTTTCTTTGTTAGGTGGGGTACTCTCGCAACCTGCAGCCTCTCAACATGTATGAGCACTCATGTCATAAACAGCACATATCCAAATATAAGGGTGTGTGTCTGCACACACACATAGAAATGTATAATTCTTATGTTAAATGCCATTTTAAGAACAGAAAAGAATTCTTGAGGTATATTTCCCTACCCATAATGAGAGTTGCCCCACTTTAATGTCTTTATTTGAACAAATTAAGTCTGTTTTCAGCACACTGGCTGGATTTACACTGCATTTAAAAACCCATGTATTGGTAACTATGTATTTGAATTTCAGCTTTGTGAATCGATCCAGCGTCAAAACATCCCCACTCAAGTTTTATAATTTAAATACTGCCTTCCATTTGATCGGATATTAATAATAATAATAATAATAATAAATGGGAGAAATTACGTTTGAGTTTTGTGTTTATTCAACTAACATTTGTTTTGGTTGAAAATCTGTAGCTGAACACCACACGCCGCAAAAATCTTCCACGCTCATATCAACCTGACCTCTGGCTCCATCTACTGGTCGGCTCACTGCATTTTCCAATTTACCCACAGGATTTGACTTTTTTTTTTTTTTTTTTGCTAAATTGCATTTTGTCACGTTATTTTGGCACACAATTCAAACATTTGTTGCTTGTATCTTCTTGCTGCATGCTGTGATATTCCAAACACTTTCATCATGAATGAAGTGAAATCCCCTTTGTCGACGACAACATTCACTTCAGCAGAAACCCGTGGGTCAGCTCGTCTCGCGGCTCCTGCACAAAGCGTGAAACTCCGGTGTAGAAAGCTCGGCCGGCTACTTCCACCACAACTGCCCTGAAGTCTCCGCATCTGGTCTCCTGAAGAGAAACGGAAACGTCGCCATCGGCTCATAAATCACGTTAAAGCTCAGCTTAAGAGACAGAACTGATGGTTTTAAATGAGAATGAAGAGAGCTTAATTTTGCTCATGTGAACTTTTAGTCAAAAATGGGAAGAGCCAAAAATGAAGAAAGAAATTAAAAATGTAAAAAGGAAACAATCTAATCAGCCACAGGAATCTGTTGGATTTAATTTCAAGTTGTTGGTAACCTTTGGTTGGTGGGAACAAAAGAGAGCTGAAATCTACCATATAGATTTTTTTTTTTATTTAGATTTTTTTGGGGGGGGAACAACGGGCCATTTACAGCATTGATTTAGTGTGAATATTCCACACTAAACTGTTTTGCTCAAACATGAAACAGTTTAAGGTCTCAAAGTATTAATTTAATTAAACTTTGTATAATTGTCTTTCCTCTTTACAAATATGCACTAATTTGGTTTTTGCCAATCACATAAAATGCTAATAGAACAAACAGACGATTGTGCTTATAATGTGACAAAATGAAGAACTGTTCGGGTGTGAATACGTTGGCAGAGAACTGTATCTAGATCAAAACTTCTCATACCTCAACAGCTCTTCCTGTAAACTGGGATCCGGTGGCGCCGCTCTGAAACGTCCTGGTCTGGTTCAGCTGGATCAGACCTTTGTGGTACTGAAGAGCAACTCGAGCTGTAACACCTGAACCAGTAGGGCTTCGGTCCACCTGGGGGGAGACGAGGGCAGCACAGATTATACGTTTGAGAATGCGAGTTGTAACTCACTGCAGAGGTGAGAGCTTAAATATGACATCTGCAAAAAGAAGAGACGGAGTAATGGAGAATGGAAAAACAAGATGGATTGGTGGATGAAAAAATGGGTGATGTGAAGCTGGTTTTTCCCAGACTGTGCAGGGACCCTGAACATACCTGAGCTTCGGCGAACACGCAGATGTTGGCGGTGGGCTCAGGTGAGAACTGGTCTCTGCCGTCTGTGAGGATGGTGCCGTAAAGGAACGCCAGGTCATCGCTAACTGGATGGTGCAGCTTCACCTACCCAGGAGAAGAGAAAGGAGGGGGACAATGTGGACAGACAGGTATGTGGACAAGCTCATAAATAGCATCATGCACGTGAAGAGAAAGCATTCTTTCTATTAAGATCCCTGCAGCTGACTAGATTGTTTCCTTTTGAAGTGTAAAAGGAGAAAGTTTCCTACCTGGGATTTAATAGCTCTGGTGACCGCCGTTGCTGCGTCCACCAGATCCCGAGTCCTGGACTCCTTCACATCCAGACCAAACCTCTGTGCATCAACAAAGGCGTAAAAAGCTCCCCCGTAGCTGATGTCCACCGTCACCTCACCAAACCCCTCTACTGTCACCGTCACATCTGGTGTAAAGTCATTTATTCAGTCCTGTGGGACATAAAACCACCTGACCACAATTTGAGTGTAAATTAAAAAAAAAGACCTCCCACCTGTTGCAAAGGCAAATGCTGGCACACTCAGAAACCGCACCGCTCCTGTTCTACCAGCAGAGTACTCCACAAAGGCCTTCACCAGCCCACAGGGGCAGTGGATGTTTACCTGGGTCTCCGGCGACCGTGGCTCCTTCACCAGCTTGTAGTCCACGGCGAAGCGACCCAGGGCGATGACGGCATGTCCGCACATCGTGCTGTAGCCCTCGTTGTGCATAAACAGCACCCCCAGGTCGGCCTCGGGGGTCTCGCTGTCCACGATCAAGGCCCCGTACATGTCGTAGTGACCCCGGGGCTCGAACATCAGCACCTTCCTGAGGTGGTCCAGGTGCTCACGGGCATACCTGCGCTTGGAGAGCACACTGTCTCCTCTGACCTCAGGGTAGCCGGCGACAATGATGCGGAGAGGTTCCCCTCCTGTGTGCATGTCGACCACAGAGAGCTCGACTCCCTCATGAGGAGGAAGCTGCAGCTCCATCTCTGAAATGCTCAAAGAAACAAACAAAAAAAATGCACATAAGGTTTCAGCATCATTTGTACCTGATCAAAGGAAAAATAATACATGTTATCACCAAATAACAGAGTCCACCCTCATGTAGTTTATCTCACTGTAATTCCAGATGATCTGTGAAACCTTCAGAGGCTTGAGAACAGTAGTGGACATACAGCATCCTGAAGACCAAGGGCCACATAGAGGCCCTATGTGAAAAGTTCTGCAGAAGTTTAAAGCAAGGTTCAAATCTTGGAATATTGCCTCCAAGATTTGCCTCCATAATATCCCAAGATTTGAACAAAGCCCTGTTTAGGAGTTTAGTTCAGATGAAAGTATATTTAGGACATGAACACTCTGCACATTCTGTTTGAGCTTGAGCTGCTTTGCCAGTAGAATCTGTAAAACATTTCCATCTCTAGAATGTGCAAAGCTGGCCAAAAAGTTGGCCTTGACCAAAAGTGACAAAGTTAAGGGGAGTGAAGCCTTAATGATTCAGCGGGTCAGCAGGCATTACGGACTGGTCTTTAGCAGAAGACTGCATGCTGAGTTTTCATTTTTTATTCAAAAGCTGCTCAACAACAATAAACCCAAAGCAAGAAACAGCTTTAAAGTTGCAGCAGCGACCAAACAACACAGAAGCAGAGACAGTCACTTCAACACAACAACAAAGAGGAGGAAAATGTTTACCTGATTTTAAAAACAGTTTCTTTGATTCTTGCAAAACTATACAACACTTTTATTCGTCTTCTAGTTATTTTGTTACCAACACAAAACGGACCAGAGAAGATTTGTTTTTAAAAAATGGATCAACAGCGCCACCTGTTGTTCTGGATGACTAGAGGTTTCAGATGGTCAAATGTATATGAACAAAAAAAAAAGATTTTGACACAAATAATAACCATAACTGGGAGTGACACCCCAATAATTTTTTTAAATAAATAAAGTAACTGAAGGTGATCTGGGTTTAAAAAAAATAAATAAAATAAATCTAATTAAACACTTACTTTGAAAATAAAGTGAAAAAAATAAATAATAAAAATAAACCCTAAATGTGCTGGGTGTGTGAAATAAAAAGCAGACCACCACGTTTTATTTGACATTTAAAACTGGAAGAAATATACTTTTACACAGAAAATAAAGAAGGAAGACATTTTTATTCAACTGCAATCTGAAATAAATAGTAAAAATATGACAAACGATATTCTGGGCCATATCACAACCTTTCATATTCCCATGCATAGTTTTTTGTTTTTGTTTTTAAATATTAAAAAAAAAAAAAAAACTTTGGCCAAAGCTGCTGAAAAGTCCCAGTTTGCTGTGCTGAGAGTTTTAGCTGCTCATCTTTGGCAAAAACAAGAGTTCAGAATTGTTTTTCACGAGATAAAGATGTGCTACATAGCAAACTAAACAACAGATGGTGAGCAGGAATCTGTTTTCATTATTCATTTCACAGCTGACAGGTCCCCTCACATGCATGCAAGGTCGCTAAATAGATCTAACATTGGACAAATGTGCCAAATCGGCCGGCATGCTGACAACGTCACAGCCCACACTAACTTAATCGGAAGTCACTTAAAACTAAATGCCAATTATCTAAATCATCTATCTATAATAAGCCTACCTGAGCAAGTTTAGTTGCATGTCAGAATAAATAGCGACTTGAATACAGTTTTGTTTCAATACCTAAATTATACATTACAGAGCAGCAATCCTTTCTATGTGCCTGGGTAAATCTGTTTGTTGAACACGTCAGTAGTTAAATATGTAGATCACTAATATTTCTAATATACTGTATGTTTTTCACCCTTTAGATTTCCATGCTTTTCTAGTCTGTGTCAGAACTTCTAAATGATACTAGTGTGGGGAGAAAATACAGTACTTAATGGTTTGACCTTGATCGGTGCACCTCGATGGGAGGCTTTACTTTATAAGGCACATACAGTTACCTGACTCCAGGGGTGGTAGCTTTAGTGAGGGATGAGGGGACACTGGGGAGACGATAGACAAAGTGATCGATCTATTGTGCATGTACAAATGTTGAGCATGTTCCAATCTCACGGAGGGCACAAAGAGTCTGAGCTGCTCCCGTTTTCTTTTGAGACACAATCAGATAAACGACAAAAATCTGCACACTGACATTGGTAAAGTAAATAGTTCAAGAAGTCATGCTGTGCTTTGTTTGTTGTTGTTTTTTTTTTGACATCTTAATAAAACTGGATTATAAACGGTCTCTGGCATGGTTTGCTCACAGCTTGTTTAAAGCAACTTTGAAATGACTCTTCTTTACAGAAGAGCTTTTTTTTCAATAGTGGACCGCTGAAGTGGTCGTTGGGTGTCTGGGTCTCATCTTGAGAATGGTTTTCCCAATCTCGGATGTACACTTTTCAAACAATTTATGTTCTAGTTTTTGGATTTGATGGCAAGATCAAATAGTCTTATGTTAACAAAGTAACCAGATATATATTCATGAGAAAATGATTTATCTTTTGAATTCCACTGGTGTCATTATTCCTTCTAGTAACACTGTAAACACTTGATTAAGGTGGCATTTCCTCCCTCCAGCCACTGGTTATTGTCTCCTTTGTACCAGTTTGGGGAGTGGTTGGTCTCTATTAGTGTTGGGTTCGTAAACATGCAAACCTCAGCACCCAACATTTGTAAAACTAAGCATCTTAAAACGAAATGACAACATCACCATCTATCAAACACTAACCATTGTTTTCTATATAAAAAAGGAGTTTTTATGTTTTCTAATTATGTCCATTTTAACTGAAGTGATGGTTGAGCATCGTTTTAAGAAAACACCGTCTCTGAAGTAACATGCATAAAAGCTGCAAATTATGCGGTACTTTAAAATGCATAAGAAGTTTCAACAATCAGCTGTATTTTTACTTGTTTTTTGGGTTTTTTTTTTGTTCATAATTTGTTTCTGTGCCTTCTTGGCATCACATTGCCATACAAAGTGCATACAATTCTGAGAAAAAATCCCTGGGATTTGATGCATAGGTTACATAAAGTAATATTAGCATGCAGTCACGTTATCAATGTTTAAAATGCCTTCCAGTCCAGCAGAAACATGCAGGTTGCTGGTCAACAATATACGGATGTTGAGTCACAAAGATTCCTTTTCTGCTTTCGGTGCCACGACCCTGGAGGCCACGACCATGTCATGACTTTTTATTCTCGCCTTCGAAGAAGTCGGCGGCAGCGAGAGTCTCCTTTTGGACGACAGCAATCTGAGGACTTCGCTCACTTGCGACTCGAGGAGAGACAGCCGACTGCTCAGTTTCCTAATGTCTCCTTTCAGCTCCAGCTTGGCCTCGTGCAGCGTCGTCTGGAGCAGGGACTGTTCAGACACCGGCTGGAGGAAGGACTGCCTCAGGGATACCTCAGTGTGAACCCCCAGGCTGTGCTCGAAGGGACTCCTGTCCAGTGGGTTCTTTTCCATTGGGCTCCGCTCAAAGGAGCTCCGGGAGTCTCCAGCTCGGTCGATGCGCAGGTCACTCTTTGTGATGCCGCTGTCACAGGAGTCGGTTTTGTGCAGGATGCTCGTTTCCTCTCCTGCGTCTCCTGCCGTGTCAGCACCCTTGGTGCTCCCCGTCTGTCCACCGCCGTCTGATTCCTGGGTCGTTTTAGAAGCTGCAGGCTCCTCTGAGGCCTGTGGTGCTTTCGGGCATGCCTCCGCTTTCTGCGTGTCCTTTTCCTGCTCAACAGCAGGAAGCGCTGGTTCAGTAGATACGGCACTCTTGAACCTCGCCCACCCTCGCCCCCCTCTGCTGCTGGTTCCCCCTGCACCTGTCCCACCTCTCTGAGCAGGTTTTAAGCTCCTCTGACTTGGCCTCAACTCCATGGTTACTTGAGTGCATAACTGCTCTGACTTTCCAGAGTCATTGTACTCTTGGTGGGAAGAAGTTGTGCTGCCTCTCCTGCTTCCACTTCCTGGTTCTGAGCGTGGCTTGGTGCCGTGCTCCTGCTGCTGATTGCAGGAGTTTGAGTCGGTGTGACGGTGGTGCTGCAGCTCCATCTGGATGCAGTTTTGGTCGGAGTAAGGGTGCGTCTCTCCTGGAGCTTGAGAGTCTCTCTGCTGCCTGAACCTCTGGAACAACTTGCGAACAGGGTGATCCTCAGGAATGGAGAGCGCCACCTCACTCCTCTGCCGCTCCTGCTCCCTCTTCACGTCAGCGATCTTCCTGAAGATTACCTGCAGGGCAGAAATGAAAGCAGTCAACAAAGGCAATCGGTGAGCATTAATGTTCATTTTGACAAGAAATCCAAGATCAATCTAATTATTTTGCTTTGTAAAGTATTACATATGTAGAAAATAGACATTTTTTTTTACAAATCCAAATATGTAGTGGACAGTAACTTTCAAAGCCTCTTCTATAGCCAGTCTTGTCTCAAGGTTGTGTTTGTGAAGCATACAGCAAACAATCACCCCCAGATATCTGAGAGGTGTGTCTTTAGAGTTAATATAGGCTTCTTAGGTTCTTCAAAAAAATCTGACGTCAACTCCTTATTTCTACTGAGCACCATGTACTGTTTTTTTTTTTTTACTGAGTAAAGGATCTAAATTATTTGCAGGTCACTTCCTTTCTCTATTTATTTTTCAGACTGTGTCTTACAGGATTTTTTTTTTTGTTTTTTTTTTTTGTGAATCAGCAGGTTTTGACTTGCAAGCTAAACACATCTAAAAAGTTTATGGGTAAACGTTAAGCCCTGGCAAACAACAGCAACAACAAAAAAAGTGCTGAAAGCACCTTGAATTAATAAAATATGATATAAAATCTATATAATACAATCAAAGTGTCATGAATCTTTTAACATGCAGCTATCTGCTTGGATTCAGAGCTGCTTCACTGTGCCTGTGATTTTATTCAACATAACAATTAAGAAGCTTTGGGTTATTTTTATTTGTCTGCTTTTGACTCGTTATGAAATAACTGAAATATCTCCAAATGTTTCAGGCATCCTCCATACGAGCAGAGATCTGAATCGACTCGGAAAGGAAAAATCCATGAATAATTCATGAGATGTTGATGAAACAGGGTGATGTTACAGGATCTAAGCAACTTAGCCTAAAGATCAGAAAGTAAAACATCTTACATCTACTAGGGTATTAGTAGAATAAATAGAGCATGGTCAGTCTGGAAAACCAGTGCCTCCTGTGCCATGTTATTTTATTTTTATTTTTTTACCCGTTTACGTAGGTTACAGGTCAAGATGAGATTGCGGGAGAAGGAGTTGGCGAATGCGGTGTAAAAGTCCAGAACCCTCATCAGAGCTTCTCTCCTGATGACGTGCAGGTCGCAGTAGGTCAGCGCTCGCACATTGGCGCAGGCCCGGGCCGGCGTGGTCTCCTTCCAGAAGACGTCTCCGAACACGTCCCCTTTACCTGGACGGATCCAGACATCGTCAGTTTGGAAGTGAAAAGACAAAACATGCTTTCATGTGAGACCATGTTTTCTCTTCTCCAAAATTAACTATGCAGCACCTTGCAGAGAGCGCCATATTTTTGTATGTATTGAAGAGGCTGAACTGCCTGTTGTGATAGAAATGACATTAAAAAAAATCTTTATGATTCTGCATTGAAAATAAGATGGTAGCTCTGGAGGAGCTGCACAGATCCACAGCTCCGGGGGGAGAATCTGTAGAAAGCAAAATTATTATTAATAAACTTCACAAAACTAGCCTTTATGAAAAATTGGTCAGATGAAAGTCATCCTTTAAAGAAAACTGCAAGAAAATTAAAAGTTTGCCCCAAGTCATGTACAGAATTCAGTAAAACAGTCTTGACCAATC